TTACCATACTAGTTTTTTTTTGTTTTTTGTTTTTTTTTAAATCAAATTATTTTTCGGGTGTCCAAATATTGATAATACAGACACATATTTTTGTTAGCATCTGTTCCAATCATTTTATGTAATTAATTAAATCATTTTCAATAAATGCATTTGCATGAAATGAAATTCGTCACTGTTTTATTTCTCATATCTTTTAAGATAGAGGTATACTTTAATATCTGTTGAAACTGCCGAAAAATTTCTTTGCACAATTTTTCTAATAAATTCTTGTCAATAATCACAAGTAACCACATACGTGTGTTATATTATTTGTTCTCATTCAAGAGTTTATTACAAAATGGCAGAGAAACAAATTGAACGAAACACATAAAAGTAAAGAAAAAAAATTTTGAAAAAGTTAGATTTACTGCAATGCTTTTCCTGAAAGCAACAGTGAAAATTGAACATCTTCCGTCGCATTTCTTCGCTAAGTGTTTAACGTGCAAAATTTCGAGGGCGGTAAGAACAGTCAGCAAAAAAGAAGCATTTTCCTCACTGTGCTTAGCGACGTACATCTCCTTGGACAAATTTTTTTCGGGGATCGTAGAGCCAAACACATAGTTTTTGAAACTTTTTGGCTTGCATATATACCACGTTTTCATTAAAAAATAATTAATTTTATTACTAACATCAGAAAAACGTTATGAAATATTTTTTAATAGTGGAGCTCAAGCAGTACATAAGTCACTTTACTCTCGAGTAATACTATCTAGGACATCTGTATACAACTCCAAACTTGGTAAGATAACGATACGAGAAAAAGCTGGAGCTACTTATTTACAATTTTAAAAGTGTCACGCCACAGCTCGAAATGTTGTGTTTAATTTTTAATAACTGGAGTTCATTAAATTTTCGTATAGTACTTATTCAATAATTTTTAAGCTGTACTGAAATGAAATTTTTGTAATTTCTTGTAAAGTCGTACATTGGTAACTCCTACTTAATTGACAGGGCGTGTGTTCGATTTTATAGTAGTAAACAACAACGAAATAAGTTGGGTAATCTTCCAGCTTCAGTTACCCACATTGATTTACTTATACAATCGAACATGCGTTTTCAGCGAAGTTATCCTTATCCCGATCAGAATTTAATATAATCGAGGTCAAGGACACATATATATA